GACGTTAGTTTGAAGTAGAGGCAAGGTCGAGCCTAAGGACTTGACCTAGAGATGACGCAAGTCAACTAAAGCTGTAAATGATTGAACAGGCACGCACATTCGAAGTGTGTGGTTGAATAAGCTTAGATTCTGCACGAATTATGTTTGGTTGGTGAAGGAGAAACTCACATAAGGTCTGACGAAGCCGGACGAAAAATAGAAATAAGACTTGAGTTCTCTTATAGCAACCCAAGCCCACTACTAATAGATATTGTTTGCTTTGACCCGTTACATATCGTTGTTAGCCTTACCGTTTTAAAACGCGTATTCTATGAAGAGGGTTTAGCCTTACTCCGACCAATGCTCGCACCGTTTGGTGAGTTGCTCTGACACCATTTGTAATAATTCAAACTCACCGCTAGCAAATATTGTCCGCTTTGACCCATTATGTATCGCTGTCAGCCTCACGGTTTTTAAATGCGTCTATTGGTAAGAGATTTTCACACCCTTATAAGGAATGCCTGTTGAGATCTCACAATCCACTCTTTGGGCTCAGTGTCCTCATTGGCACATAGCGGTGTCTAACTTTGATAGTATTTATAACACAACTCACCACTAATAGATGTTATCCGTTTTTGTTGGTCTCCTCTCCGGTCAGTATAAAAAGTAAGACTGTACGACTGCAAGACGTGGCCTCCAATGGCGGAAAATGGCTACCCCATATAAGACCTCGACCCCAACGTCTCTACTTTTCAATTCTCCGTCCCCTTTCGTTATCTTTGAATTCAATTCTGCACGTAGCTTGATAGATTGAAACCAAGCAACCATAATGCACGTCAGTTGACTATAAACAAACCGACAGATTTTCAGTCTGTTATCATCTTCCTTCTTCAGTTTCCACCAGATTTTCAGTTCTGCGACTCGTTCAATCTTCGTGGTAAAACCGTTCAATCTTCAATTAATTCCAATTTTTTCCACTCCCCTGTGTTTCCACCGCAATGGCCATTCATCGCTGCTGATATTTCCATCGTATTTGCCCTAAAATCCCCATTCTTCGGATTATATTTGTGACGTTGATTGAGAGGTTTCTGAATTAATTAGTCAAAACATGTACAGGTGGGGATTCGAGAGAAATGAAGCATTGACTAAGAAGTCTGGATTGCTTGTATTTAATTTCATAAAGGCTTTCCTTAATCATCTTCTTCATCTTCTTCATTTTTGTGCTCCACAGGAAGAGATAGAGCGAGATAAATGGGGATTTGCTGGGGTTCTCCAGATGATAATCATACCCCTAATACCACCGGACATCTCAGTTCAGGTAATTCATCAGATTTTCTCTTATATCACTTCATTATCTTGAACTTTGTTGCTGAAATTTAGTTCTATTTCAAAGTTTGTGCTTAAAATCTGCAAGTTCTGCCCTAATAATTTTCCCCCTTTAGAATTGGAGTTCTTTGATCGGCTATTTGTTTGTTTAATCTGTTTGGAGTTTCCTAGCTTAGCTTTTGAATCTCTGGCTGGTTTTTCCTTTGAATTTTGATCTGAGACTAAGAGCTACGTGCAGATATTTCCGTAATCCCTTTCTTGCAATAGATCCGGTTGGAAAAGTGTTATCGAATTTATACTGTCGGCTATTTCATATATGATTACAGATTGAACAAAAACAAAATACTTTTTCTTGGTAGGTGTGATCCACTAGACATAAATCAATTTTTTCATAACCTTTAAAATATCATCACTAGCCCAATAGGGTTAAACTCAATAATTGTATGATGTTTATTTTAGGAGAATGATTTAGTTATTTTGGGAACAAAAGTCGAAAAATTTTAGGAATAAATTGTCTAGGCTCTACTATACGTACCCCATCACCCTAACCGCACAACAGTAGTATTCTACAAAGTGTCTTATAATCTCTTTTCGATTGATGTTAATAAAAAGTGCGAGTGTTTCCCATAAAGAGTTGTGTTCAACAATGACGATGTTTTGTTTATGATTTAAATCTGTGGCTATAACAGTGGTATCCCAGGCAACAGCATCAACCGTGAGCAATATCTCGAAGAACAGTCAGTTCTCGGCAGCAAGTGGAGATGAAGCTTTTCCACATGGCCAGAATTTTCTCTCTCCAAACTTGAGGGAGCATAGCTTGGCAGAGCTCAGAGCTGCAACCAAAAACTTCAGAGCCGATGCATTGCTTGGTGAAGGAGGCTTCGGCAAGGTTTATAAAGGTTGGCTTGAGGAGAAGGGCCATGGAAGGAAGGGAACTTCGATGGTTATTGCGGTCAAAAAGTTGAAATCTGATAGCTTACAAGGAATTGAGGAGTGGCAGGTAACTTAGCCTTTGGATGAGCTAAGCCTCTTTGAGTGAAGCATTGACATATAATGACCTTGTCTGGTTGGTTGTGCAGTCAGAAGTGGGCTTCTTGGGAAGCCTTTCTCACCCAAACTTAGTGAAGCTGTTGGGTTACTGTTGGGAAGATCATGAGTTGCTTCTTACTTATGAGTTCATGCAAAAAGGAAGCTTGGAGAATCATCTATTTGGAAGTAAGGAAACTAATGGATGATATTATGCTATAATTGTTAGTGTTCTTATCTTTCTCTGAAATGCAGGGGGCTCGGCAGTTACACCATTAGAATGGGATACTCGGCTTAAGATTGCCATCGGCGCAGCCCGAGGGCTGGCCTTCTTGCACGCATCGGATAATCAAGTAATTTATAGAGATTTCAAGGCTTCTAATATTCTGCTTGATGGGGTGAAGTTCTGTTTATTATGAGCTTTTTAGTTATTTTGAACTTTTGTCGACAACCTTTGTAACAGTCCAAGCCCACCGCTAGAAGATATTGTCCCTTTTGGGCTTTCCTTTCCGGGCTTCCGCTCTTGGTTTTTAAAACGCGTCTACTAGGGAGAGGATTCCACACCCTTATAAACAATGCTTTGTTCTACTCTACAACCGATATGGGATCTCACAGTGGACGTTGTACCCCGAAAGGAGGTGGATTGTGAGATCCCACATCGGTTGGAGAGAGGAGCGGAGCATTCTTTATAAGAGTGTGAAAATCTCTCCCTAGTAGATGTGTTATAAAAACTTTGAGAGAAAGCCCGGAAGGGAAAACCCAAAGAGGACAATATCTGCTAGCGGTGGACTTAGGCTATTACAAATGTTGCAACCTTTCTTGTGATCGTCGTCTCCTTTTTAGTATTTGTTGTAAACCGAATCTGCCTTTTCCTGCAGTCATATACAGCGAAGTTATCTGACTTTGGCTTGGCAAAATTGGGTCCTTCAGAAAGTAAATCTCATCTGACGACTCGAGTTATGGGCACTCATGGTTATGCTGCTCCCGAGTACATTACCACGGGTAGGATAAAAACCTTTCCATATTGACTGTCTAAGAACTGGAGCCTGTTATCACCTAAGCGATTTCGTGTTGACGTTTGTTTATGACACAGGACATCTGTACGTTAAGAGTGACGTATATGGCTTTGGAGTCGTATTGATTGAGATATTGACTGGTTTACGTGCTCTTGATGAAAACCGTCCAACCGGGCAAGAAAACCTGGTGGATTGGATAAAACCATACTTATCAGAGAGGAGGAAGCTGAAAAACGTGATGGACTTCCGGTTGGAAGGAAAATATCCATCCAGATCCGCATTCCAAGTGGCTCAGCTGGCTCTACAATGTATTGAGAAAGAACAGAAAAACCGACCGCCAATGAAAGACGTCGTCGAGACCTTAGAACAGATCGAAACGAATGAGAAACCAATCGAGCCTAGACCCCGTGCTTCTCGTCTGGCATCGAACCGCAATGCTCATCAGCCTCTTCACCATAATTCTCCAATTCACGTGAAGCAATATGGAGGAATCCATGCTTATCAAACAACACCACCCAGGTTGAGATAAGATTTCAGCTGTTCTTCATTTCTTCATTCATGTTTCTTATAGAATGTTAGAATGAAGTTTGTTCTCTGTGCTAAAAGGTTGTAGATAAGTACTAAGGTTGTGGATGTTGGGATTTTCTGCTGTGAAATTGAGAGATGATAGCTTAATTATTTTGATTCGAACGGAAGTGTTTCGAGGGTAGCCAATATGCGCATAACTCAACTGAATAATACATATATTCTTGATCGAATGATCAAAGTTTGAATTATTTTTAGTAGAGTATGAAGAACGTTTAGGCACGTTCTCTACGAAAAATATTCGTTTTTTCCTTCATTGTAAAATCCCGGTTCCATAGTTTCTTTAATTTATTTAGTCATTGAATCATTTTTAGTATAGTATGAAGAGCGTTATGTATATTGCCTACTCCGAAATTTTATCCCTATGTTTAGTAGGTCTATGTGACAACAAATTTTAAGATTTAAGTGACCTATTGAATAAGTTAAAATTTTAATAATTTATTAGATATTTTATAAAACTAAGATTGGAATTTATTCCACAACCGAAAAAATCAGAAGTTATTTGTATTCCTCGAAAATCCCGCGTGTGCACTAGGGCCAATGGCCCCGCCCGTGCATTAGGGCCAATGTGAGTAGAAAAACCTTGCCCCTGCATTAGGGCCAACCTGCATTAGGGCCAAACATTGCCCCTCCATTAGGGCCAATGTGAGTACGATCATAGTCTTCATAATTGAAAAAACGAGAATAGGGGAAATACATGCTACACATCTAAAGAAAGATTTGAGGGTAAGTCGAAATGGACACTAAATACTTTTCGAAAAATCTCCTCCAAATCTATGACTATTGAAATCGTTTCCAAATCCAAATGATAGTATCAGCATCTTTAGCTACTGTTCTCGAGAAATGTCCGATCTGACCCATTCCTTAAAAAAAGTTTTTACTACATTCCTACCACCAAAATTTTTGAATCAAATAGAACGATTTAAAATTTTTAGACTAATTATAATTTATAAGTTGTGAACTATTAAAAATTGAATTTCGAAAATAGTTATCACAAATTATCATTTAAAAAATAAATAAATGGTTTGATTCTAATAATAATAAAAACTAATCGATATTCTTATCATCTTCCTGCAGCGTTTTCCACTGCAAAACTGAGCAGAATCAGCAGACGCGCGAGTGTAAATGGACCGAGCAGCCATGCTCTCTAAAGCCGTTTACCTGAATTCCAAAAGCCCCGAATTAGCATGGCTTCTCTTCAAGCGAGTTCTTTCTTCCCCCATCTCTGCCTCCTCTTCCTTCTTCAAAACCTCCCTTCAATCTATACCTCTTATTGCCCGCATCCTCACCACTGCAAAAATGCACCCACAGATCGATCACCTTCACCAACTCCTCTTGTCGCAGCACCGGGATTTTGCTCATCCATCTGGATTTGCACTCGTTCGAGCCTTGGCTGATTTGGGTCTCTTCGAAAATGCCATTTCTCAGTTTCGATCGCTTCGAGCCAGGTTTCCTAATGACCCTCCAGATATTTCTTTCTATAATTTTCTGTTTCGGTGCTCTTTGAAGGAGAGCCGGGTTGATTTTGTGATTTGGCTTTATAAGGATATGGTTTTTGCGAGAGTTAACCCACAGACTTATACTTTTAATCTGTTGATACGTGCGCTTTGTGAAATGGGGTACTTGGAGAATGCACGGGAAGTGTTTGATAAAATGTCTGAAAAAGGGTGTAAGCCTAATGAGTTTAGTCTTGGACTTATAGTTCGTGGGTATTGTAGAGCTGGGCTCCATGATCGAGGTATTGAACTTTTAGACGAGATGAGGAGCTCTGGTGCTCTTCCCAATAGGGTTGCATACAATACTGTGATATCTTCTCTTTGTGGAGAAGGTCAGACTGGGGAGGCTGAGAAATTGGTGGAAAGGATGAGAGAGGTTGGTCTTTCTCCAGATATTGTAACTTTCAATTGCAGAATTGCTGCCCTCTGTAAATCCGGGCAAATTTTAGAAGCTTCCAGAATTTTTAGAGACATGCAAATAGATGAAGAGTTAGGGTTACCTCAGCCTAATACAATAACATATAATTTAATGCTAGAAGGATTTTGTAATGAGGGAATGTTCGAGGAATCCAAGGCTCTCTTTGATTCTATGAAAAAATCTGAAACTCATTTGACCATGGAGAGCTATAACATATGGTTGTTAGGTTTGGTTAGAAGTGGAAAGCTCCTTGAAGCTCGTTTAATTCTTAATGAAATGGCAGAAAAGAGTATAAAACCCAATCTTTACTCCTATAACATTTTGATATATGGACTTTGTAAATATGGGATGTTTTCTGATGCAAGATCTATAATAGGTCTAATGAGAGAGAGTGGTGTAGCTCCAGATACTGTATCTTATAGTACCCTACTGCATGGATACTGCTGTAGAGGAAAGATACTTGAAGCCAATTATGTTCTTCGTGAAATGACACAGGTTGGTTGTTTTCCCAATATGTATACTTGTAACATCCTGCTTCACAGCCTGTGGAAAGAGGGAAAAGCATCAGAGGCTGAAGAGTTGCTACAAAAGATGAATGAAAGAGGTTATGGCTTGAATAATGTAACTTGTAATACAGTGATTAATGGCCTCTGTAAATCTGGGAATCTGGACAAAGCTATTGAAATAGTGAGTGGCATGTGGAACCATGGAAGCGCTTCTCTTGGTAATCTTGGAAACTCTTTTATTGGTCTTTTTGATATTGGCAATAATGGGATGAAGTGTTTACCTGACTCTATCACATATGCAACCATAATAAGTTGGTTATGTAAGGCGGGGCGGGTTGACGAAGCAAAAAAGAAGCTTCTGGAGATGATTGGGAAAAAGCTATCTCCGGATTCACTCATATTTGATACTTTCATACATAGTTACTGTAAACAAGGAAAGTTGTCATCTGCTTTTAGAGTACTCAAGGAAATGGAGAAAAAAGGGTGCAACAAGAGTCTTCGAACGTATAATTCTTTGATCCAGGGTTTAAGTTCTAAAAATCAAATATTTGAAATATATGGGTTGATGGAAGAGATGAAAGAAAAAGGGATTTTTCCTAATGTTTACACTTATAATAACATTATTAGCTGCCTATCTGAAGGTGGGAAACTGAAAGATGCCACCAGTCTTTTGGATGAAATGCTGCAGAAGGGGATATCTCCTAATATATATACGTTTAGGATTTTGATTGGAGCTTTCTTTAAGGCTTGTGACTTTGGAGCGGCTCAAGAGTTATTTGAGATAGCTTTAAGCCTATGTGGCCACAAGGAATCCTTGTATAGTTTTATGTTCAATGAGCTATTAACTGGAGGTGAAACATCCAAGGCTAAAGAGCTTTTTGAAGCTGCATTAGATAGATCTCTAGCCTTGAAAAATTTTCTTTACAGGGACCTAATTGAAAGGCTTTGCAAGGACGGAAAGCTAGATGATGCTAGTTTCATTCTTCATACGATGATGGATAAGCAGTATAGGTTTGACCCTGCATCACTCATGCCGGTGATTGATGGATTAGGTAAAAGTGGGAACAAGCATGCAGCCGATGAGTTTGCAGAAAAGATGATGGAAATGGCTTCAGAAACTGATATCAACCGACATGAGAATAAGCTTAGCCGAGGAAGATCAAATAATGATGATGAAAGAGATTGGCACAAGATAGTTCACAGGTATAATTCTTCAAAAATATGCTTGATGTGGTTCTTATTTATCTCCATGCTGCATAATCGAGTATTTGGTTGAGAACATTGGTTTTCTGACATTATTCAAATTCAACTGAAGTGTTTCCTGATTTCATGTTGTTCATAATATACTGTAAGAGGAATATAAGTTACTTGGTGGTGATTTTAAATTTTAAATATATCACTTAATTTGGTCCAAATATTGAATGAGTTCATCGCTAGGATTTTAGCAACCATTTTCATTACCCTTAAGATTCTTGCAATTTGTTTATCCTAATAATCCACAAGTGTTTGCATAAAACTTTTGAAGAATCATAAGTATATACTTTTTCCCTGCATGATGCATATTTTTAGGCAGTTCTTTTTTTCCACGGTAACACGTACGATGATCCTTTGAGGGTCTTTTAATGTCACAACCTTAACTATAGAGTTAAATCCCTCTGGAGACGACCTCTAGTAGTAGATTGTAATTTCCAGTTATCAAATCAGTTGAACATTAGGCCAAGGATAGTTAAAATAATGAGGCTATTCATTAATTAATTTATTTTGTATGGTCAATGAATGTTTAATTTTCTGTTCCATGTGTGTCATGTGCGTGGCTTGGACCTGCACAACTTCAACAGAAACGATGGCAGTGGGATTGCACAGAAGACTCTTAAGCGTGTGTTGAAAGGATGGGGTCAAGGAAGTATATCAACTTCGCAGCCACAGAAATTTAGCACACATGATTGCTGGGATGGTGTTGTTTAAAGCTTTTAAAGTTCTTGAGGAACAGGCAAATATGGGAATATGCTCAAACCTGCTGAGGCATCAAATCTTCAAGTCAGGGTGCTTAAGGACATCAGCACATCAGGTAGAGCCATTTTTTCTGGATTTTTTAAACTCAGTACCGTAACAATGAGAAGATAGATAGAGAACGATGAACTTTTTTCTATGCAAATAATGTAGTTGTTTAGGTTCTGCATGCTTAATAATTTCCAATTATTCTTTAATATTTAATCAAGGGTCTTACCTATATTAGACTTGAATTTGAGGTGGGCTCAAACTTCTAATTGTAGTGAAAGAACTAGGAATGAATGAGATTCATTTTGCTATAATGGCTGATTGATAGTTTTATTCTGTTATATACATTTTCAAGCGACAATGCAATTTTTATTCATACTAAGTACACAAGCACTGAGCTTTTGTGTAGATTATGGAAAGTGGAAACTCGAGCACCGTTTCGTAGTTTTACTCTGTCAGCTTGGAGAGCTATTAGAGAGTAGTCTGGGAATAATTTCTTCCACGTTCAAATGATTTGGAACGCTTACAAGTTTTAAACTCGAGCACGATCTGTTATGTTATGTCTAGATCTTATAGCCTAGTACAATGGAATATGGAAGGGAGCATCGAACTAAGAAACGGTGAGCAAGCTACATTGCTTTTTTCATTCACTTTGTAATTTTTTTTTTTTTTTTTGAGTTTTTAGACTCTGGAACTTCACTATAGCATGAAAGAAATATAAATGCACTGGGCCATCACATTGTTATGCCTTGACATGTAAAATATTACATTAATATCACCGTATGCACTTCATGAAGTATGTCTATTGTGAAATACGGTATTCATTATGAAATGTTGTATAAACAAGTAATTATATGATTTTTGGAGGTGGGGAATGGTTTAAAGTTACATAGAACCACTGGCCTTTCATGTAAACCCTCAACTGGGTAGGTCAAAAGTTCGTTCTTATGTGACACGTACCTAGCCTGAAAGTCTTACAAGCATCCCAATATTATTTTCTCTACTATGCCATTTATCTTCTAAAAAGGATAAAAGTAACTCTTTTTCTGCTACAAAAAGTGACTTTGATGTTAGTTTAGTCTTCAGCTGAGTATCCCACCACTAGCAACTGCTAAGTTATGAAAAACAACTGATAAGTTCTCTAAAATAGTAAGTGTGATGTTTTCAGGATGGACTGCTACTGCCAAAGAAGCTTTTGCCAAAGTCTGCTGAGGAATCCATTAGAGGCAGATTCGACAGTTTCGCATGTCAGTAGAACTGATTCCCCATCGTTGTCGACATACCTGATATTGACTCATGTAATATTGTCTGGCAAACCTCGAAGACCCCAATTTTGGTGCATGAACCTGATTTTTTCTTCACCAAAAATGGTTTTTACTTTCAGTGCACCCCCATCTCGTGTTCGGTCGCCATGTAAGGAGGTAACTATCAGGATGTTCGCTAAATGATGGGAGCTGTGAGATCTTCGAATCTTTGGGTCCCCCTGACATGGTGCGTACAATTCTGCTTCAATGCTCGTTTTATTTAGCATTCCAACAGGCTCTTCTGACTGCCTGGACCAGAAGTCTGACTACATGAAGAGGTCCGGGACATCACAGGGGCTCCATGGCTGAATCAGCCACTTTCAGCTTGATGGTTTATTTTACTCATGATGGTCACTCATCTTCGTGGATGAATAATGGCCAATCTCAGGAAAACTGGGAGAGTTCAACTGTGGGAAGCTTTCATAGAAAGACCCATTCTGTGTTGCACCATCAGCACGTTCAACCGCGTCGATCACGAGCTGGAGTTTCCTTAGAGAATGGCCTACGTTCTTGATCGTTTGGGAAGCCGACCTTGTTATCCATGTTGCCTCCATATCATTTTCAGAGTAGTTGGACAAACTGCACAAACAGGAAGTTCAAGCAGACAATGGCCAGGTAGCTAGTACATTATTACTCGATTGAAATTACATAGAAGAAATTCTAGTGGACTCATGCAATAAAAGTTGTAAATATATATATATATATATGTATGTATGTATATGTATATGTATATGTATATATTGTTCATATTCAAACTACATTTTTCTGTTTAACCAGGCTATTCTCTTCTAAATCAAGGCATCAGTGGTACTGCAATCGATGTCTAGCATGGGACAAAGGCATCTCAATGGTGAAGGTAAACTTATTCAACTGATCATCACCAAAAAATTGGACAGTTTTATTAATTAATCAGCTCAAAATGATTATGTTTCAAGAAATTTTATAACATTAACAAACATTAAACGAGAAACTAGACTCTTGAATTATAGCGGTTATTTATTTATCATTAATTTTTTTAAATAGATTCCCTTCTTAGTTGATCTCAAACACTAAAATGGCTCTTTTCTTTTGAGGATCTCAACATATCTTCAGAGCAGTACGATGTTGTCTATTTTAGCCATAAACTCTTATGAATTTGCTTTTATACCATTAGTATTTTGCTTCTCCAGCCATGGTGAGACTTTATTTGCACTCCAAACATCAACATTAAGGGGGGAGAAGCTGACGTTGGAGTCGTTTTGTTGCAGCAATTTCTGCCTCAAACCGTTCGTTCTTCTATTTATGTAAGAGTTTTTCAATATCTCTCATTTTGATTTTAGCATGAACTAACTTATTTAGAGTTCAAATTTATGAACATCTAAGTATTTATGCCTTTGCTTAGTTCATATAGTATTTAGAAGAGTAAACGAAAAATGACTAATTAGTGTCTGAAAATTCTTCTAAATTCACGAGCTGTTCTTTATGAACTAAGTTCAACCTATTGAATTACCGGCCTCAACGATAACATATTTATATAATAGGGTAAGAAAAAAATAGTAAAAAATGTGTCTCAAACAAGGTTTAAAAGGTTGATATCGATTTTTTTTTAAAAAAAAGTAAAAATAAAAAATAAAGTTATAAATAAGCATTTTATATTATATTCATATTTAATAATATTTTATTGATTATTTTATCATAGTATTTTTTTTAATGTTTTTTTAATGATATATTGAACATGTCAATTTACCATTCATATCGATATCAAACTCATAAGCATAAAAATATGAAATGTTGAGAAAATTTAATCATTTCAGTTAAACGAGGTTTAAAAAAAAAAGAAGAAAGAAATATATATATATATATATATAGTTGATTTAATAAAATTTAAAATAAAAATAATATAACAATAATTATAAAATAAATAGAAACATTAGAACAGTGCATTCTATCAGTAGCAGTAAAAGTAGTCAACAAATTCTCTAATCTCTAATACTTTTGCCATCAAATATCTAGAAAGTATAAAAACTTAACATGTCAAGAGAGCTTTTTTTAAAAAAGAACATACACGTAACACGAGCGAAAAATACATAATACATGAATCAAAATTATGTTTATGCCAAGAATCCTAATAAAAACTTTAGTTTCTTCGAAGTGTTTGTGTTATAATTGTCTCCCAATAAAAACATTATGTTGGATTGGATTCTGCTGCTTGCTTATAAGTCACAATCGCTCTTTTTTTTTACAGCGGACTTGCTATTGTGCTACACTAACTTTTCAGCAACAAGTGAGTTAAGTTAATTCGTTTGCGCGTCGCCTACGACTAGGCAACGTATGCTCGAGCCTCTGACCCCGATTTAAGAAGAAGGTTTTAGAAAATAGAAGTAGAGAGATTTTCAAAGAGTTTGAAAGCAAGATTTAGAGGGCGATTGAAAATGGTATTATATAGCGTGCAAGCAAAGGTAACAACGACGACTTAGTAGTATATAACTATTCGGGTAGGGGATATGACTACTTTTACTTTCAGCTACAGCCATTGTCTTCCTAACTAGTAACTCCCTGTAATCTACTTTTTGTTGCATAATCTCAAAGTAGGTTTGATGCATATGAAGACTCGTGCTGGCTAAGCTTGATATCTCAAACAACATTTGTGAAAGCATCAAGGATTGCAGCACAGAAGCAATTAGGATCAGTCAGACATGGAGGTTGATGTTTTTCTTTGATAATTTCAACTGTTTCTCCATGGAATCTGTGACCCCATGTTTCCAGTTGCTCAGGAGTAGGACAACCAAATCACCTATCAACAAGGATAAATGGAGGAGTGGACTTGGAGATCCAAAGATCTAAACTGAGTAGCTAGAATGTTGGACTGCATTGAAACTGACTTCAGATATTGATCTTTTATGGAACATTGTCTAATCACTTCATCTATTTCTTTACTTGATGAGGACGACCAATCTTATTTTATATGGAAGGGAGACACAGTGGGACGGTTCATGAGCGAAGCAGCTCGGCTGTAAGGGAGAGAAGGCACAACGATGCAATTATCAAGGGCGTGCTTTACCACTGAGCTAATAGCCCGTCGTGCGGGCCTCCCGAGGAGAAAGGGGTCTCGGGGGGAAGAGGATACCTCGTCCTCCATTTCAACCACCACATTTTCATTATGGTCTTACAGAACGGCAATTACTTAAATACGTTCATATCGCCGGAACAAAAACACAGGTCTCTGCAAAGTTGTAAGACCATATATATCGAATTGTCTCATGAAGCTAAAAAGATGTCTCCAAATGACAAGCTTAGACTAGTTTCCCCTTTTAGGGAAGCAGAGTAGATGCTTTAGTTGACATGTTCGAAACAATTTTCTTAGCACCAGACACTTTGATCAATATCAACTATCAAATAGAATGGGTAGACCGATATCAGCATCACAGAGGTTCTCGCTTCTAAATTTTGGTAAGCTGAGGATCCGGAGTCTTTCCTTTCTCTTCGTTTAGAAAGTGGCTAATAGAAGATGAAGATTATTTCTACTCAGTGAACCAACTAAACTGTTATTATCGACATGGTTTTGGTCAATCCATGAGGTGGATTGGATACTTGGGCTGCCTTCAACAAATCAAGCAATGGAAGAGGTTCCTTTATATGATTGAAACTCGAAGTCCTTGGTGTGGATCTGAAAGCCATATGGCAGTAGGATGATTTTTGGTCAAACTGTGCTAGTAAATAGGGAAGCGATGAAGAGGGCTTAATAGCTAACTAAAGATGTGAGATCCACATTGATTTGAGAAAGAAACGAATGCTAATGAGGATGCTGGACCTTAAAGGAAGGTGTATTGTGAGATCTCATATCAGTTGAACGAGAAGAACGAAACATTCTTTAGGAAATCCCAAAAAAGAACAATATTTGCTAGTGGTGGGCTTTAGCTTTTAGATGCAACCGAGTTTTCTCCATTTGAGCTTACTACATGTAACAACCCAAGCCCACTGCTAGTAGATATTCTCATTATTGGGCTTATCCGACGTTCCCCTCTCCAATCAAGGTGGGATCTCACAGCCCAACATCCAACGTCCTCACTTGCACTTATTCCTCTCTCCAATCGATATGAGATCTCACACTACAATGTCACTCAAGATCTTGGAGCACTATAAAAATCTACTATTTTTAAGCCCATCTAGTAGGAGACATCCCTCAAGAATGGTAGAAAAGAGACTCCCATTAAGCTCACTCATGTCCAAATGACACCTCACTCACATTAGTACATAATGTGCAATAACCACGAGTAAAGGTGGTACAATAAAGTCTTCCAAACAGTATAAAATAAAGCATACAAGGGATTACAACCAAAAGAAACTTCAAAAAGAACATCATACAGAGCAAACTTGAATCTAACCACATTCAGTGGATCAAAAATGGAAAGCAAACTCAAAATCAGACACCTCAATAAGCAAGAAAATGGGGTACCTACTCAGATCTTAACTCAAAGCTAAGCATGATGAACAAAAATGAAGGAGAAACCATTCACAAATCTAAACTGCACAGCTAGGCATGGTAATTTATTAATAAAGAGAAACAGCTTCTCAATTTATGTGAAAGAAATTTGCAAATGTCTACCTAAAATGTGTAGCCAATAGAGCCAGAAACAGATATGAATGTTACAGCATATACGAAAGCCTAAATTACAACATATCAACAAATTGTGATAAAGAGACTAACACAGAAGAATGAAGGTTGGTTTCAGAGGCCCAACCTAAGATCAAGAGTGAGACCTGAAGAATACGAAGAAGAAGAGGCATCTTCAACAGGGGCAGGCATGTTCAAGTCCAAGTTAAGAAACCCCTCTTCTGTAGCTGCATTCTCCTCCACTCTCTCCCAATGGCATCTCATATGGCCACCAAGTGCTTGACCACTCGCGAAAACCCTCATACATACACTACACTTATGCCCTGCTGCTGTTCCTAAAATCATCGACATTTTATCCTCCAGATTGATGCTCAAATCATGACCACAATGTCCAAACAGAGCATCATGTTCTATTTCTTCATCGCTCTTCGCCATGGCGGAACAGCCTCTCACATTCTTGTGACTTGCCCTATGTCCTCCAAGCGCCTGGTGCGATCTAAACACTTTCTTACAACTCGCGCATTCGAATCGAAAATCGGAAACCCTAGCGATCGCACTAGGGCAATCGGCAAGCACTAACAAGCAATTAGCGACGTCCTGTTCCTCTTCCGTAAACGCCGATTCTTCCAAATCAGCTCTAGGTCTAAAAGGAGAAACCGAAACCGAGCGACGGAAACTAACCGGCGGATTAATCCCCCGCCATTGTCGTTCAGGATGACACCTCATATGACCAAAAAGCGCTTTATCCGACCAAAACCTCCTCCCACACTCACTACACGGAGGAGTGATCTTCGGCGCAGTAGGATCCGGCTTCTTTCTATACTTAGCCTTGGAACCGACGGCAGCAGTGGAGGCATTTTCAGTTCTTGACCGCTTCTTGCGTGGATTATGGCGGCCCTTGGAATCGAAAGTAGATTCGACGATTCCGAGTTGAAATGGAATAGCGAGGTCCAAGGCAGAGCTGCTACTACTGGAAATGGCGAGGGAGTTCATATCTGAATTCATGATTGGAAGAAGAGAGAAGAAAGGGAGCTGAAAGTGGATAGAAAAACAGAAAGTATAACAATGGCGGAAGGATTTTGGATTTGAAGGCTGTGAGACGGTTACAGGTTCTTCTGTCACAGACATGGCGGGTTTTTTTCTTCCTCTTTCCTTATTTCTTCAGTTAGTTATTGCGGTAGTTACAGATCTTACGGGGAGAGAGATTTTTTTTTTCGCGCTCTTTCAACTGACTTCAGTCTTATCTGGTCAAATTTGATCTTGACCGTTCATTTTCGTACAAAATAATCTAAAAATTATATATTTATATTAAATTAATATAAATATTTTCGAGAATATCACTTTCAAAAGTTTCAATAATGTTCTATAAAATTTTTAAAAATATTCTTATTATTAATTTTAGATAAAAATCGTTAATATTTTAGTGTTTTGAAAATACTCATACGATTTTCGTCCATATATTGAAGATTTGGTCGTTGTTAATGAGTTTAATAAAGTAATAATATATCATCGGATTACATTTTTTTTAATTAGAAATAATTATATGCTTAAATTTAAAAAATATAAATGTGCTATGATTAAAAATATTATTAAAAAATATTTTTATGGTTTTCGTCCATATATTGAGATAAAAATATAATCTTTATTAATGAGTTTAATAAAATAATAATATATCGCAATTTTTTAAATTAAAAATAATCATATATTTAAATTTTTTTAAAAAATAGAAATGTTAAGTAATACTGTTATGATTAAAAATGTTTATTAAAAAGTATTTATATGGTTTTCGTCCATATATTGACGGTAAGAGATCCCGTTCTTGTTAACGAGTTTAATAAAGTAATAATATATCATCAAATTGCATTTTTTTAAACTCAAAATAATCATATATTTATTTTATTTTTTTAAATATAAATGTTAAGTAACACTCTGACGGTTAGTGCTATGATTAAAAATGTCTGTTAAAAAATATTTTTACAGTTTTCATCCATATATTGACGGTAAGAGATCTGATCCTTGTTAATAAGTTCCATAAAGTAATAATATACCATGGAATTATATTATTTTTAAAACTTGAAATAATCATATATTTAAATTTATTTAAAAATAGAAATGTTAAGTAATACTCTTATAAATAGAAATGTTAAATAATACGGTCTCTTAACTTACGACTCCATCTCGATATCTGGACTTCCCCATTTTTTTTTTTACCAACGGGTTTTCGAACCAACTTTCTTTTTTGATATGAACCACGATCAAGGAATTTTCATACCTCAAGGTTCAATTACAATGACGAGAGCCAAGAAGCTACAACAAACTTTGTACACTTATATTCACTCATCAAATAAAATTCTAAAAGACGTTATTAAACATGCAATGAATGAAATTTGCTTATTAGTTATCCTTTGACTAGTTCCATAAATTTCCTTTTATGAGTTTACCATAATTTAAATATAAGTGTACAAGGTTTGTTGTAGCTTCTTAGCTCTCGTCCTTGTAATTGGATCTAGAGGTATGGAAATTCCTTGGTCGTGGTTCATATCACTTTTTTTTTTACCAACGGGTCTTCGAACCAAGCGATCGGGCCTACACCTATATGGAGCCTAGGGAGTGGAAATAGTTGTTAAAATCACAGATTATAATAATAATAATTATTATTTTTGGTAATTTTTCATTATGGGCCTGACTAAGGCCCAAGATGTACGGGAAAATCCAAACTAAGGCCCACAGATCGAAACTCTTATCTTGTCGGACTGGAAGGAGCAAAATCCAGGCCCGAAAATAAGAAATGGAATATGGGATTCAGCTCCATTCTTACTTCATCCATTTCTCGAATCACATGATCACTTTACGCGATTTCGTCGCTGTCTTCTCAATCTCTACGCACACTTTTCGATTCATTCAATTCTCCTTTTCTTTTTGTTAATTTTTTATACCGTAAATACTCCAATTTTGATTTTGTGTTACAGAATTATTCTTTTTCGCTTTCGTGATTGTATTGCATTAGATACTTTTTTTTTTCTTTCTCGCTTTTTTAATCTGCGGTTTTCGTTATCCTTTCGGGGTTTTCGATGTTTCTTTTGGGATAGGGTTAGAGTTGGGTTTTTCTTTTTTGTTTTGTTTTGTTTCGTTTTGTTTCGAGATTCTTTTGCTGATCGATCTGCGTTAAAGGGATATGGGTGCCGACGGTGATTCCAGCGAGCACCGGGTTCATGGTGACGGTGAAGAAGGGGGAGGTAGTGTTACAGTTAATATTCGATGTTCTAATGGTTCGAAATTTTCGGTGAGGACGAGTCTTGATTCCTTGGTTGGGACATTTAAATCAATTCTTGCTCAGAATTGTGACGTTCCAGCTGATCAGCAACGCTTGATCTACAAGGGTCGCATCTTAAAGGACGATCAAACCTTAGTCAGTTATGGTATGTTAATTCTTTTCTGTTCGGGTTATTATGTGATATAGAATTGTTTTTCTGGAACTCTGTGGACTAAATTTTGGTGGATAATTCTCGTTTTTCTTTGTTCATTATAATTGAGTTTTTTCCTCAATTTTTTGTTCTCTTTGGAAGGATATGTGAATGTGATTTTTTTGGGTTGTTCTTCAAGTTTTAGTTCATTTATTCCCAAGGAACTCCCCTGATTGATTGGATTGTAAGCACCGCCTGATTCATGTCGGCTCTTTGTCTCAAATGTTCCTTTTTTTTGGTACAGGGTTTGGCGTAAGCCAAGTATAGATCCTTTACTGGGAATTGCTGGTAAATTCTTTATATTCATATTCTGTTGGGTCTGAGTATAGTTTAATTGAAGGTATCGAG